AGCATCCCGCCCGGCCCTGAGTGTGCGATACCAGGCCGGCCTGCATTATTAATCCTTTCAGCAGACCGCTGATTTGGAGGGGGGGCTTCCACTCAGCCACCTTCCCCAGTTTCCAGCGACTCCATTATTCAGTGAAGCCTTTCAATTTGAAACCTCGGCAACGGGGAGGAGTCCTGACAGATGACTCCGATCGGGTCGATGAAGGTGCGCCATCACTCTGGGCTCATGCGGGTATCGATTTTAAAAAAGCGGGGGTGTGAGGGGACGCATGTAAAAGACGCAGGAGACGAATGTTCTTACGTTCCGTTTCGAGCGGAGAGCTCTGGCTCTCCTCAGCCAGGAAATGAACTGTCAAAAAGCTCCAAGCGGCCACATGCTAACACCTGGACTCCCCTCCAAGGGCTTCAAAGAGAGACCAGAAGAGCCGGAGCTCTTCTCCGTCTCTGCATCCATAAACTATCTCCTCCGTTCGTTTTAATTTACAGCCAAAGCCGTGCTCTGTGGTTAAGTATAATGTCAGACTCCAGACAGACACAGTGGAGCGTATTTCAGAATGCTGGGCTTCTGCATGTGCTTAATTGCTACCTCGGAACTCTTTAGTGAGCCGGCGGCCTCCCTTTTTCGTGGTGTCCATTGTGCGTCTTTGTGCGTCGTCGTGTGTGTTGCATGAACATTTTGCCATTCTGCGGGTCCATTTCGCAGCATGTAGGCTTCTCCCGCTGCTTCTCTTTACCGCTGACTCGTCTATGGATTCATGCGAGGGACCCTCCGTATCCTCATGTATCATCTTTCATCCAGGCCACTGTGTTTTCCGGCATCGGGGAGAACAACCCTTCCAACGCACCGCCGTGAGAAATGTGTGCCACTTGCACTCGAACCAGCCCGATTCCTCCGGCGTTCAAAGTGTTTGAATCTATAACGCGTCGCGCTGCTCGAGATCTTTATCATCCAATGAGGAAGAAAGATGTTTCTTTGTATTTCCTAGTAAATGCTCCTACGTCCAATCGCAATGGTTCATGTTGAAGGGCTCGGGTGAGAGGCCCTTTTGGAGAAGAAAGAGAGCCTTTCAGTACCTCTGCCCTCGTTTCCTCCCTCTCCGTCTTCCCACTTGTGAAGTGTCACTTTGCTATCGGACCTCGAGGCCCGATTGTCAGCGGGGTCGGGGGTTTGCCGCTGGGATCAATGGGAGAGAGAACGCGGCGAGGAATGACGATGAAAAGGAGTCCCAAGACGTAGAAGTGAGGCCTGCCTGATTCCCCAAAAGCGCATCTGATTTGGTTTGATTATTTCCATTCATTCTGCCTCCTCTGAGAGCTTGTTGTTGATTGTTTAGGGCGCACTGTTGTTTTGGTCGGAGTCACTCCCTCGGGGAGGCAACACGCGCTCCAGGGCCTTCAAGCCCTAGAAACAAGCCGTCTTCATCTTTAAATTCCCACAGCAGTAGAGCCGCGCCCTCCACTCGCCGGTGGATACAAAGTGCCCTCGGATTTGTCTGTATTCAAATAAACAAACCCTAATTTGAGATTCAAATGCAGACAAAAACTTCCCATCCAGACACATGAGGTGATTGAAAACGGAAGATCGAATCCTTTTGAGTTTGACCAAACGAGTCATTTCGTCGGGGACGCTGTCAGCCCGTTACCGTCAAATCAAACGTGACAGGCGGGAGGCAGAAGCCCCAGACAGAAATAACCCCTTTCCTGAAAAACGCGGGCTAAAGGTCCGCTCGTCCGGCTCCCGTTTGACGCTGTCATGTGACGGGGGGGGGGGGGCTTCTGCTTTGCCTCTCATCGCTGTTTCTGGCATGTCTCTTAACTTTTGAAATGTTCTCGATAGCCGGAGACGTGCAGCGAGGTCGGAGCCACGGGTCCCCGACCGTTTTTTTGCCTCACGGAAAAGTTCCACGTTGGACAATTGTGTCAAGGGGGACAAGCGCACGTGATCGGGAGAGAGTCCGGCCATTTTACAATAATTGTAGTTTCTCTCTTTGCGGCGCGGCACCGCAAGTGGTCGGCGGATAAAAAGCGACGTGGCATCAAACTGTTCGTCGGACTGCGGCGTCCTCGGTATGTGAGGGGGACAGATGTTTGCTGAGCACTGTTGGCACACGCGCCACTAAAGAGCTCTCCAAAAGGCTTCTCTCTCTCGAAGGTTGAGAAGGACTCCACTCGGCCCTTGATAAGCACCCCCCCTCCGCCTCCCTCCTTCTCCCTCCAAACCCCCCCCCATTCCCCGCCCCGCTGCCCTGACCGCTGCCCCGATCGCCCCGCCGCTCGGGGGGGAACAATGGCTCACTTTCAAAGAAAAAGCAGGAAAAAAGAGGAGCCCGTTGTCACAGGATTGCCTGTTTGCTGACGGGATCTTTAAAAGCAGCACCTCATAAATCAAAAGGGAGCATAATAGCCATTGTTTCTCCAAGAGCTACTTGTCCCACTAAAAATCCCCTCCTATCTTCTCTTTTCTCTCTGCCCGCCTTGTATTTCGCCTCTTTGACCGAGGCGGCGGGTCAAGTCAGAGGTGGAGATTTTTTGTTCCGAGGGCGGGTTGGGGGGTCTCTTCTTGGGAATTTGGTTTCCTCACTGCTTTCTTTCTCCGTCGCTGTCCAACCATCGCCTTTTTTTTTTAATGCTCCTCCAACCCCCCAAACACTTGATTTTTGTGGAGAAAAAAAAAAGAAACCCCTGAGCTTGGATCAGCATAATCTATCACTATGCACATTGTAACTCGGGCCTCCTCCCCATCGCCACGCCGCATTGTCATGTTGAAATCGGATTAGATGGGAAGACATTTGCCTCGTCTGTGTCGGATCTGTATTTTTTTTTTTTGTATGTTAGCATAAAGAATAACAAAACGCTCGCAGGAAGTCTCACCGCTGAGCATCGAGAGAAACGGCGTTTGAGTCGAGGGTTTCTTAAGTCGGGGCATAGATTTCCAGTGATTGTGCTCGGGAAGTGTTTCTTTACAGGAATAGTTTGCTGGCGGAAAAGATCCGTCATGCTCGGGCATCAAACAACATGTTGTGGGGTTTTTTTTGTGTGTTGTTATTATTACTTCCAAAGGCTGTCAATGAGCCTGGACACGAGCAATCAGGTGTTAAAGATGTACAAAACGAAATGGATGAATCCAAATGCTACTACGCTGGGAAGCTACACCCCCCCCCCCATCCCTCGACTGCTTTTGACCTGCTGGTGTTATCTCTGCATGTCATCACCCACGATTTGTCGCGCGCACACAAGACACTTGACTTGTTTTGAATAATAAAAACTGACGTTAGATTGCCGGCTTGCTTATTACGATCCCAGTCGGGGGCTAAATGAGCTTTTGGAGAAATCCTTAGACCCCCCCTCCCCCTCCCCCCCTCTCCGAACCCCGTTTACCTGCGTTCACCCCTCTGACGTGTCAGCCATAAGGAAGATATTATCATAATTAGATCACTGGCACTGCATTAGGATTAAACAAATCTGCCAACAACATTTCCGCAAGCCTGTTTATTGGTTACCGGCGGTTACCCTGGGCATCTTCCCTCCCCCCCTCTCACCGGTTCGTTCTCACACAGACATGAGCATTGATGAAGAGCATGATGCATGAATTAGCCATGAGCTGGACGGACGTGAACTAGATTCCGGCTTTTAGAGCATATTTCTGCCGGGGGAAGAATGGAGCGCCACAGACCTCTGAGTGTTCAGGATGTGTCCAACGTTGTAGTTTCGACATCTTCTACCTTTCTCTCTGCTCTCTGTGGAATTGCACGGCATTTCAATGGGATCGACCCGCAACAGCAAACAATGGTGTATCAGTGCCTTAGCTTTAACTACAAAGGCGAGGCTTGGGCGTACAAAAAGGCCAACGGGACTCTTATCTGCGAGAGCACGGCGACACTGATAAGTGCCTGAGGTTATCTCGTTTCTCCTTCGAGTGCTTTAAACCGCTCGCTTTCAGTTATTGGGTTGTCCGTGTCCCTTCGTCTCTCTCTTCCCATCCAGATTGCACCATAAAAAGCATTTGATCCCGTGCACACATCACGCACAAATCTGCATTCAGAGGCCAAAGAGAGGGAAAGGCAATCCTCGCCCCAATATCGGTCAAACCGCTCTTATCGCCTGCACTGTAATCGAGACGCTGCGGTCGGCCACCGAATTGTGAAACCTAACGCCGAGTGAGCAGAGCGCACTCACTTTTCCCTTCAAAACCAGTTGCTCTCAAGTGCCTCTTGATTATATGTCTGCATGTAACGTATCTGCGCGAAGCCCACCAGCCAAAACTAAACACACTCCGGTCGGAAAAAAACAAAACACCCCTGAACCAGAATCCCTTTGTGAAACAATCCTCATCATCTTTCAGCACCAAAAAATAAATAATTGCTGTTTAGTTGGAGGGGGGTGACCGGTGGGTGTGGCTATGCCTCAGTCAGCAAGGGAAATCCAGAGGGCTTTTTCTTTGCTCCAATGGGGTGGGAGGGTTATTTTGATTAAGTCCGACCACTTTGGAACATCACACCCAGCAATGAAGACGGGCTCTGGGACGATGCATCCTCCATAGTGGAATCGACACACAACATAATAGACAATTACAAATGCATTTAAAGGATAATTAGAATGAATACAGTACAAAAATCTATTAATTAAATAAAACCGCAGGTTGGATGCAAATGGGAAGAGAGGGAGCAGAGGGAAGACCCAGTTCCTAATCCCTGATATGGTTAAATTCTGGGTCGGACATGTTTGGGAATTCCTGTAAATGTTTCCCTTTGTTGAATTATGTAGTAAACAAAAGTTCTATGTTTTCCGTCAGAGGTGAGATATCTTATGAGTGAGTGAGCATGTTGATGTTGGAGAGCTTCCTGCACCCATACTGCTCCATAATAAGGATAAACAGGCTCAGTGAGTCATTGATTACAGAACAACTGTAACTGAACAACCCCATCAACTTGATTACATTATGCGCCGTGTTGCTCCGACCCGCTTCCTAACCTCTTTTGGTGCCTTTTTTTTTCCTCTCAGGGAGCTGATGCCTAAAACTCTGGAGGGCCAGATCACCATGGAGAAAACCCCCAGCTACTTTGTGACCAGAGAGGCTCCGGCCCGGATAGCCGCCATGTCCCGGGACACCAAGCTGATCGTGGTGGTGAGGGACCCCGTCACCAGGGCCATCTCGGACTACACGCAGACGCTGTCCAAGAAGCCCGACATTCCCTCCTTCGAGAGCCTCACCTTCAAAAACAGGACTACGGGGCTCATCGACACGTCGTGGAGCGCCGTGCAGATCGGCATCTACGCCAAGCACCTGGACAACTGGCTGCAGTACTTCCCCATGGAGCAGATCCTGTTTGTGAGCGGCGAGCGGCTGATCAGCGACCCGGCCGGAGAGCTGGGCCGCGTGCAGGACTTCCTGGGCCTCAAGAGGATCATCACGGACAAACACTTTTACTTCAACCAGACCAAGGGTTTCCCGTGCCTCAAGAAAGCCGAGGGCAGCAGCAAGCCCCACTGCCTGGGCAAAACCAAAGGGCGGACCCACCCCAACATCGACCCCGAGGTGGTGCAGAGGCTACGGGACTTCTACAGGCCCTTCAACATGAAGTTCTACCAGATGACTGGACATAACTTTGGTTGGGATTGATGGGAACATCATGAAAGACCCCCAAAAAACAAACAAAAAAATTGTCAGTTGGTCAACAAGTTATTTTTTTTCTCTTCTGTAATTCAATGGCAAGATGCGGAGATATTGCTATATATATGTAAAATGTACAGAAATCTATTTTATAATAATTTATTTTTATTTCAAAGCAATTAATTCACTAAGCTGCCTAACCATATTTGTACATAACATCTGGCCCACATGTTGTTTCTAACATTCCTCCTTTTAATCCTCAATTCTCTCACCTCCCTGTAAGCGGATTCATCGGTGCTTCGAAATGCAGATAATCAGCGGTGACTGAAAAGTTGGTGGAAAATATAAAAGCACCACATTACGGGTACCGAGTGCTCACGCAGAAGCGGACAACACCTTTCCATGTGCATCCTCATGCTTATATGCATCATACCTTCATCCTTTTCAAACCCACTCATTGTCAGTACGATTCGTCTGTAGCGTGTTTCACTGCAATCCAATTTGCCTGCACTTGGCTGCAGGTCTCATGTCCCTTTCCACTCAATAACAGTTAGATCAATAGGCCTAATTGATCCTCATTGTGTCACTCATGCTTAAAGCAAACAGCTGCCCTTTCATTCTCAGTGCTCCTGCTGCCTGCTCTAATGAATGACCCATCCATCAAACGGTAAATCCTGTCCCGGACCACATAAGGGCCCATGTTAACATTATGCTAATCGGGTAAAGGTAACTGGCAGATCGATCGGGCCTCCGCTCTCTGACTCCCCATTAGAAGCGGCGTTGGCTGAGAGCCAGGCTCCGCTCAGTTCAAAGGTCACACAAAGTCTCAATCCCATTTCCCTGAGAGGCATTTGATTTGCCGAGCCGAGCAAATCCGGCGCAGCGCCTTGGTTCCACTTAAAAATAAATAAATAAATAACACATCTTTGGGTGAGGCAGAGGCGGCGTACCCGTCAGGAATCCAGCATAAAGGTAGAAAAAAGAAAAAAAAGATGGCAACAACTTGGCTTAACTGCAATAGCGCTTCTTCAAGCAGGTCCACCAGGCCCCATCTCCAATCCCAGACTAAAGACATCAAAGGAAGAGGAAAGGTTTTTGTGATGCCCTCGCAAAACGGCAAGAATTGCCTCAGGCGGCGCGCCGGTGGGGCAGAGGGGGGGGGGGGGGGGGCAGGGATCAGTGTCTAACCTCTCCGGTGTTGTAAGGAAACCTCATGTGCCATCTTCCATGGCCTATATACTTTATGCCTTATTCACTCACACCTTTACCCCCCCTCGCCCCCCCCAACCGTTTCACGCAGCATGAGTTGCTATATTCGACCCCCCTCCCTCCCTCCTTCCCTACACCAGCTCTTTGTTTTTGTCTTTCTACTTGAATTCTTGATATGCAAGAGGGACAGAGCGCGTGGTTATCATTCTTTGGTGTGCAGCAGCAGGCCCGTATAGAAGGGAGGCGGCCCCGCTAGGCTACGCTAAGCCACACTATGCTATGCTATGCATGCTCAATGTTGTCGCCATCATCAAAATGCAGGGATAATGGGAAGGGATTATTAGCATCCAGAGGAGCGCTGTATGTGTTTAAGCAGGGTCAAGACTGAATGTACACAAACTGCCCTCCCACTAAAAGACCCCGGCGTCCATTTCCAAGGTCAGATTGTCACTCTGTTACAGTCTAAAGTCACATTTGATTGTGATTCTCTTGTTTTCAAGTTAGGAAAATGCTGTGCCTCTTTAAATAGCCAACACAACACAGTTCGCCCACTCTTGTCATGAACCTATTTCACATATTTTCCAGTTGAAACCAGCTGCCTGGTTTAGCCTCCAACCAATGTTTGGGATGAGGGGAGATGGAGGCTTGCTGTAGTGCCATTCTTTACTTTCACCAAGTTCGAGCAATGATACTGCGAGTGAGAATTTATGGAGAGAAAGCCTTCACTCCCTTTTCTTCTTAGTGCAATTTTGTATTATTAAAAAGAAAGCATTTATGATGACCTCTCTCAGCAAGCTGTCATATTCTGGAAGGAAAGTCTGACATTTCCACTGTAATTAATGGAGAACTGCATTTGAATTCCAGTCAAGTTCATGTAATTGAGGAGAATATATGAAAGAAAAAAAAAACTACTTGCACTCATGGGTTTACTCGTGTTGCTGCATCGGTTATGGTTGAGTTTTATTCAACCTGCTTTGAGATCTAAAAATGTTACAACTGTTTGTTTTACCCACATATAATATTTAGACTAGCAGATCTGTATGTACAAAAGTGAAATGACATGTAAATCAAGTATTTTGTGGTATGTACATCAAAGGAATTAATTTTACACAATGCAAAAGCAAAATGAAACAAATGTTTCTAGATGATTAAATACTGAACATTTAAAATATTTCTTTGTATGAATAAATAAATAAAAAAGTATATATTTTACCAAAAATCCTCTTGTGCCTGACTTTTATTTCGTTTATTCTCATTTTTTGTGCTACTTAAAGCTTTGCAATATTTATTTTGGGTTAAAAAGTTTCATTACATCATGTTTTGAAAGAAAAAAAACATTTAATGCAAGTCAGATCCAGACCCTTTACAGTATATATATATAACAACAGGAAATATGATCTATGATTATTAGATGTATTAAATATGTTAAAATGCAAGAATACCAAAGTGGGCATACTGGGTCTGGATGTGATCACCACATTCACAAATCCTCTCATCTGCATCTGGTTCAGTAGAGGACACAACTATCATGAAACCTGGGTCAATTAAACCAAAACCATTCACATGGCCGAATACTTGTAGAAATTGAGAAATCGTGTTCTGACCTTTAATTGAGTGACACCTGGCAGGAGCCCCGCCCACTGCAAGCTGAAGCTGCATGGCTGCTGAATGCCTGTTTTGACTCTCAGCTGCAAGGAGCAAAAGAAAGGTGCTTTTGACCCGGATTCCCTTCAGCTGGCGGCCTCAAAGGTGAACTTGAAGACGGGCTTGTGCTTCACCAAACCAAAGTAAGCTAACTAAGTGCTAACTGCCATCTGCTTGTGCTCACATGCATCTTTAGATTTGTGTTGGCAGGAAGTTAACGCTGGCTGTGTCTGTATGTGCACAGTCTGTGTGAATCAACTATTTTCTTTAGTGGGTAAGCTTGTTATTTTTTTGTTGCTGTTTGGCATATTGTGCAACATTAATGTGTTTTTGATTAAAGCGCTAAATTAGGATTAAACATTTGGCAGCACGCAACAATGCAACATGCAATGTGTCAACTGCTGTTTATATTTGCCAACAGCATTGCCAATGTTTGCCAACATTGTGCAGTTCATTTTCACTTCAGACCTTATTTGATGCTTCCTCGCGGTCAATACATGTGTGACTGAGTCACATGAGTAGACTGTGTGTGTGTGTGTGTGTGTGTGTGTGTGTGTGAAAGCTGGCCTTCGGTGGAGCGGTTACGCAAAAAACAATCTGGCTAATTTTGAGTTTTTCAGTTTCCTGCTCAGCGTGCACTGTGGTTACAGCAGTGGGGGGTCTGTGAGGTTTCAGGTGACCTAAAGCTGTGTGGGAGGTTTGGTTGCTGGTGGTGGTGGGTCTGCTTATCGGAAATGCCCCACCCGCACCCCCATTACCCACACCCCGACTCCCTGTAAAAGCTGCCTATGTTTCCTCCTGGCGCATAATGAGATACACCTCCAGGGCTGTTTATTTACAAGCCTCTGAAACACCTCCATGTAGCAACAGGGCGCCCATTCACAGTATCTGAGGGGACGTCTTGACGAACATGTCAGCGGACAGGGGTGTCGACAGCCGCGACAAATTGGGGCAAAGTTTTCATGGCTAGCAATTGAAATGTATGTATCCCAACAGAGATAAATTCGGTGGACTAGTCTCTCATTCAAAACTAGTCTACTAGTCTACTCATCAGAAAATGTTTCCGCTTTGAAACAGATTTGCAAATCAGTTTTCTCAACAAAATAAAGATTTCTGCTGTGTGTTAATCAACAATAGTGTCAGAATATTTGCGTTTCATTATTTCTGTGCAGCGATTTTAAATATGTTTAAAGTATTTTCCTTCTACCACGTGACGTGTGGACTGATCCTGACTTTATTAGTTATTATTAGCTCTGAACCATTGTTTTCTCTCCTGGGTATATATGCTCTATATCCGACTGACGCGTCCCGCTCCCTGCCTGTGTGTTCCCTTTTTTAAGGTTACACAAAGAAAATCAACAAAAGTTCCCTGCTGCTCCAACACAACATGAGGCTTATATAAATGGAAGACAGAAGTGTGTACTGTAACTAATACGCAACAATACACTGTATTTGTAAGTCACATTCACTTTACTTTTATGGAATAGCATATTTTATAATGCAATTAAACCTCCCATCTACATTTTTCCAACTGCCAAGGAAGAAGTGGGCGGAAATTAGGGCAACGTAGCAGAAATCCCCACAGCATGCATGCTGTGCTGTAGTAGCAAATAAAAAGGTGGGTAAACCATTTCCTTCCTGTCAGACAGACATCCTAATTGAATAAAAACAAAATGAATACGCACTCATAAAAGTATGAGTGGTATTACAAATAAGAACCCTCTATTATCCAAAAATATAAACTACATTTCCAACTTGAATTATTCTAAAAGCAGCGTGTATACATTTAGATTAACGTTGTACCTGTGCCAACATGCCAGCCGTGTTTCCACGGGAGAGACTTGAGAGTCTTCTCTCTCCAACGACTCAAAATGCAGATGTCCAAACAAGCCGCAGATGTGGCTGAGGCAGTTTGAAATGTTGTCTAATAGCGGGAAGGGTACGCCGGTGGCACCGCGTCCCCGCCGAGCCAGTTGCCAGCGGCCATTTATGACAGCACAATATGATCCGGTGCAAACGGAGCTATCGGCCAGCATGCATGCCCGCCCCCCCACACGCAGGTCGCCTCTCATCACGACATCATCGTTGAGTCTGGAACGGGATAATTGCTCAGCTGGAGCACTGACAGACACACACACACACACACACACTGGAGAGGAATACAAACAGGATGTGGTGTGAATGACGATAAAAAGACCGGGGGAACAAAAAAAAAAAGCAGCATAACCGCCAGTCTTGGCGGGTTGAAGTGGCGCCCGTTCCCTTGGCGGGCGCCCAGCTTGCGGGAGCCACCTGTATTAGCTCGTGGCTAACCTGATTAACCTGTCCATGGAGCAGACACACGCGGATGCGGGGAACGATGGATTCCTGGGCCGGCGGCCAAGCGAGTCATCTTGAGGAAAATGGTTTTGTGTAATTAACGGCTTCGCCGGAATGACAGCGGGTAATTGTAGCGTTTGCAGATGATGTCTTGTTGTCGTCGCGGCAGCCTCCCGGGATGTTATGTTGTGCGGGCGGCCAGGCCGCCGCTTTGGGATGGGAACAGACACCTGGCAGCTCTAGACACGCGAACCCCCTATTGACTCTTCCCATTCACCGCCTCCTCCTCCCACCATCCGAAACCCTTTACTCCTCCCCGCCCCCACCCTCACCCCCCATCCCTTGACACCATCACCAGAGCAGGTTGCTATGTGGTGTGTTTGATCATATTAGCTTCAAGCTGTTGCAAAGCAATATCCCAACAGCCTTGTCACAATGGTAGGAAACATGGCAGAGAGGCTACAGGGAGGGCGGGGGGGTTAAGGGGGGGTACATTAAACATTTAACTGTCTACTCTGCTCTCCTTTTTTCAAGCTCGCCATGGTGCAGCTGCGGTGGCTTCACACGCAATCTCGTTTTTTTGTTTTTTTGGGGTGGCTTTTGCTGCTCCTCCCCCGTCGCTGGTTCACCCAGATTATGAAAAGTGTCAGTCACATAATTTCTATTCTGCTTCTTTGGTGTGTGGAGATATTTACCAGCAGAAGCGTTGGTATATTCTGGTTACGTACCTGGCTTAACCGTTAGCAGCGGTGGGAAAGCTTGCTAAGGCAACGTTAGCATGTGTTAGTTCGAAGCCGCAGGGTAAAGAACCCTAAATCTTAAACCTTTGGTTTTCCCATTTTGTCTTCATGTTTTAACCAACTGATCTCTGGTGAGCTTTTCACCCTTTATATATTTGTTTCCAGCCAAGCCGCTGTCCTTGAGAATAACTACAGCGAACATGAGGTCTCCGATTATCCAGTGCAACAGGACATGTGTTGCTTTTTAAAAATATCGTATTTAGATGCTACTTACTAGTGGATCAACTCAAATGTAGATCCATCTGGAGCATTGGCACAAGAATAAATAACAGGAGGCGAAAAATAGGGAAATGCATTCAGAAAAAATCTTGTCTTCACACAGCAGAAAGGATCAAATAGTGACCAATTGCTTCGTACTGACCTTAAATCCAAATTTAGACCATAAAGACATCCAATGCATTGAATTAGTATTTTGAAATTCCGAACCGTAGACTTAAACAATCTCCGGTGAATTGTAAAGGTCCGCTAGGTGCCAAATATAGCGGCTACATCTGGGGGCCCCGTCGGATCGTGCTTCACCCCCCCCCTCCTTCCCCTCCGCTGTTTCCTCTCTCTGACAGATGTCAGACATGCCGCGACAAGCTCAGCGCCAGAGGTGTTACGGCGATGGAGGAAACGCGGGGATCAGAGGGAGTCTTTCTTATCACCGCAGGTATAAAAGGAGATTAGCCGACGCGCCGGAGGAGAAAACCGCGTGCTGGTAGCGACCAGTTCAACAGAGGCGGTGCTGCAGTTGGGGCCCTACACAGCTGCCCTATTGGGTTTAAGATCAGGTCTTGGCTTGTCCTCCTTCTTGTTTTCCCCCCTTCTTTCCATAGAAAGGTGAGGTGAATTTACATACTTGCTCCCAGGAACTTCCAGGGGTCATGTTTATATGTATGACATTATTTATCAAGACAATTATTGCAGATTAAGGGATTGATTTGCGCTTGTAAGCCGAGGAGAACAGTCAACCTGCTTGTATCGGCTCATTTTTGCCGCTTGACGTCTGCGTCGGTTCTTGACAGGATATCTGACGGCAGCAGCGCGTGCCACACAAGCGTAACCCCTCCCCTCCGATCGCTCAAAGCCCCCCACTGGCTCTATACATGTGTCCCGAGTACCAGCAGGCGCAGGAAGCGGAAAGCTGGCTCGCACACCTGTCTGTGTCACGGCGGCGTTGTGTAAAAATGGGGAAGTGTAAAGGCAGAGTAGGAGGCAGGTGGGCTGCGCTGATGAAAGCAAGTGAATGAAACAAATGGTATGTTGGACAGATGTTCGGCCTGGTGTTGACTCACCTGCAAGAGC